GGGGCCCCCCCCTCCTCCCCCCCGTGGGTTCAACTCCCCCCTCGGACGCCTCTGGGACTCTCGAGCATCTCTTATGGCATCCACTTTGGCTTAACTCCTCCGGGATACCGTGCAACAGATTCAACAAGCTCACAGGTTCGTGAACACATCGGATGCATCGAACAGTGTGGCAAAGTCCAGCCACGCTTCCTTAATTATCGGGGACTTCAATTCTAAGGTTGGCTGTGTCATTGCTGTTTGTGTGTCTTACATGTTCACAACGTTTTACCTCATGAGCATTTGCCTCACTCCGCTTGATGTCCCACCAGTCCGGATGCACCCCTGCTAGCTTTCGTCACCTACCCTCGGCCTCAAGTTTAAGGTCCAGCTTTTGGAGCACCTATGCAATTAACACCCTTTTGCCTGCATCAGCCTATGCAACCACTATAAAAACCACCTAGCTATCACGGCTTAGATCTGTCTACACATTCGATAATGTGTATCAATGTATCAGAACAGCTCCACCAAATCACTTGTTGGGACTTGGTTCTGATAAATACACAACAAGCCACTGCCGTATTTGGATCCTTGCACTCATTTTACATCAACACACATTTCTTCTGTAGATCAAGATATATACCCAACCGCTGTCGGTGGATTCTCCTGATCTCAGGTGCAGTTCCGTCTCACGCGTGGACTCCGTCGCAGAGTTTCGGGACTTTGTGCGTCGCACCGGCGGTGTTTCCGGCATCGCGCCATCCGTCGATGACGGTGAAGACATCGTGGCGGTGAGTGCGGTTGGTGGGCCCGCGCTGAAGAGGTAGTCCGACACACATCCTGTCAAAAACCAAGATTCAATCTTCCGATGTCCTTCTTTCAAGGCTTCAGAGTGATTCTCCAACATCTCACATGAGTCGCCCACGCCTTTGTTGAGTACTGAATATATTGAATACCTGAAAATAACTTCAGCCTGAATATACCTGAATACCTCACTGACCGATCCTCACAGCGGCTGTCGCTTGTGGACTTTGGATGGCGCGTCTACGGTCGGCCGGCCGCGCGGCGTCTGCAAGCCGCCAGGTCATGGCCGGCACTCGGAGGGAGAGATGTGCATCCTCACTGAAGGTGGGACGTTTAAAACATATATAATTTGGGTTCTTCCCAACTCCAGTTTTAAGGCAAAGGACATTACAATCACAGCTCTGCAACTCTGAACATGGGAAGTGAAGGCTTAGGAATACTTGCAAGTAGTTCCTGCATGGTGTTTGTGCTGCGGAGGCATCTCCAAGCTGCAGTTGACAAACTCCATCCCCGAGACCTTGAGCGAGGTTGGAAACGGCTCTCGAGTATCCAAGGTCCAGCAGTGGGTACATTATACATACAAGGTATAGTCCCGTTATGTCCCGTTATGTCCTGTTGCCGCATGTACAGATACCAGATAGCACAGATCATGAAGGTTTGTAGGCTGTAGTATGCCTTTGTTTTCTCTCTTGTAAGCTCATTTTTGTACTTTTTCTCGAACGGACAACCCTAATCCATTTGTTGTTTTGCACGGCTTTCCATCTCTCTCTCTCTCTGTGTCGAGTCTCCAAACGGTCGCAAGGTTCTTTCGCAGCGGAAGAAGCTCTCAGCCGTTGAAGCCCTCCTGAAGACGATTGAGCAAGGCGCACAGCACTGCTGTGCACTGCTACGGACTTCGCCCGATCTTCGACCTGACCAGGCGAGGATCCCTGGACAGGTGAACTCTTCTGGTGGCCGCCACTTGGGACCGAGTTCACATGATGTCAACAGTTGGAGTGTCCGAAGTCTAAAAAGTTAAGTTTCCCAAAAACATCTAGGAACCAAATGAATAGTGAATGGTGCGGGCGCTTCCTTGAAGAAGCTTGAGCTATCCTGCGTCCTAAGTAGTAGCATGTAGTAGCTACTTAAGCTATACTAGCTACCTCAACTCCTTACTTAATTACGTGAAGGCGCCTACTTAACTAAGTAGGGAGGGAGGGAGGGAGGGGGCTTGAAAAGAAACGCCAGACGACCTTTCCCAGCTTGCGGTGAACATCCCAAAATGTTTTTCTCATCTTGTGTCCGGAGGTGTCCAGCTGGGAGTTGAGTGAGCTCAGTTTTGGATAGTTTTAGCACCTTATCATCCCAATGAGTTTGGGGGTGGTTTCGAATGGTTTCGATGGTGGTGTTCATCCAGAGCTCCGACTTTTTCGCGGCAAAAGCAAAACGCCTCCTGGATCTTATGGCGAATTGGTCGTCTCCCGCGCGCTTCGGCGTATCGAATGCGCGCTTCGGCCGCTCTGAGGCCGGGTGAGACGCGACGCGAGGAGGTGTTGGGGGAAGATCTGCGCCGCTTGGTGCGGAGAGCGCGATCGAGTCGAGTTGTCCCAGGGATGCGAGCGGTCCGAGCGGGTACAGAAAGAATTTTCGATGCTCTTACTTTCTTTAAGGAGGCGCGGAGGCGCCTACTTAATTAAGTAAGGGAGAAAACAAGCTGCTAGCTACTAAGACGCTAGTGCCTATCGGACGCAGGATAGCTCACACTTCTTCAAGGAGCCCCGCCTGAGGGCGGGGAGAGCTTCCTTGAAGAAGCGCTCGCATTGATGATTTGGTTCCTAGATTTATACCAGGCCAGTGAACGGAACGCAGGAATGAGTGAGAACATTTGGGGCCTCGCCCTTCTTGTGATGGGGACGTCCAAAAGCCAAGAGGTAATAGGACGCTTGCCACATGTTGATGATCCGATAGTCCTTATCCTATTCAGTCGTTGTTCGAGCCAAAAGCACATTTGCTTGTTTCCAAGGCAGCAAGCTCTTAAGATATCGCCACTAAGCTGCAGAAGCATGGCTGATGTTTTCTTCACAGACGAGATTACTTGCGATGGCCAAGGTCTGACATGCACACCAGTCATGCGCAGGCTTACTTACAATGGTTTAATTAATGTACTCGTATATTGGCAATAACGTCGGACCGCATGGTCACTGGAAGCCTGAATATATATATATATACATAACTCTACATATATATATATACATTAATGAATGAATCGGGTGGTACACTTTGTTAAATCGGGTGGTACACTTTGTTACCTAATCGGGTGGCACACTTTGTTACCTTGGTTACTTGCCTCTAAGCTAAGGCAGACAGATACTATATTAGGTTCACGACAGGTTCGTCGATCTCCGTGTCTATGGAACGCTCACGAAGAAGCCTCCAGGATTGATTGATTCTGTTGCAGCTTGTTCCTAACTACAGCTAATTGAGACACTTCAGCATCGGCTCAGATGCACAATGCCTTACCAAAAGTGTGATATCATATCATATTTTCAATGCCAGGTGGCGCAGGATTTCTTCCTCCAGCATTGCCACACAGGATGGACATTATCCTTCCCCCCTGAGAGGATAGAATAGGTTACATGATGTTACATGCAAATTATTCCGCAAGTGTTCTGTTGCTTGTTGAATTCTCCGCCCAAGTTCCACCAAATGTTCAACCGAAGAGTCCCAAAATGTCCCAAAGAGTAGTATAGACAAAAAATATCAAAAAATCACATACTGTAATATGATACGTAAGCTGTTGTTTCCTTGTTTCCTCCCACCTTCCTTTCCACACAGGCCCCTTCGTCGAAACGTGCTACGCCGCAGAGCTCCGAAGCTCGCGGAGGCGCGGGCGTATTCCCGTGGGGCGGAGCGTGGGGCCCGGTGGACTCGGCCGTGCTCGGTGGACTCGGCAGAAGTGATGCTTGCAGTGACATTGAACATATTGAAGGTGAGGAGTGAGGACGCTACTAGGAGCTAAGGGCATCGCTACTAGGAGCAAGGACGCTACTAGGGGCTCCTGTCCTTACTACTAGGAACAAGGACGCTACTAGGAACATATTGAAGGTGAAGTGGAACAGATTTGCGACGTCCTGCCGCAGTGACTGGGCCCTTTTCTGACCTTGCATCACGACCTTGCATCATGCACATTGATGAATGTCACAGAACGTTGCACCAATCAGAAATTGCCAGCTCTACAATGCAGAAAAAACATGTTGCAAAAATCTCCATAGGGATTAGGGATGGTGAGAGAACACTCTACCCACCCAGCAGACAGATGTTGGGCCCACTTTTGATCTACATCCACATTGAACATCCACATCGACAGATGTTTTTGATGTTCCCGACACACTGAACTGAGCTCCTTTGAGCTCCCTGGGCCAGAAAGCCATGCTGGGAAGGGCCGTGTGCGTGATGCTGTTGCCTTCCCTGGAGGCTGCCTGGGTCAGAGGTTCCATCGAGGTTCCAGCTGGTGGAACTGTATTTCTCTCCAAATTCTGCTTTGATGCGAAAGAAGGTGCGAATGTACAGCACCCGGTGGGCAAGCTGCAGGCCACTTTGCACTCATCAAACCCAGGGGATGGATTCATGAAATTTGTCTTGTTCGATGATCAAGCGTCTTCCTATCCCGACAGCTCAGCCTTTTGGGGTTTTGGCTGCGACTCGAAGAGGCTGAAAGCAGCAGCTCGCTGGACTGATGAGATCAATGTCACCTCTTTGATTTCGGGGAAGGCACCAAAGGCTGAAATCTATGAGACCATCAGGCCACGCTGGTGGTATGCTGCACTGGTGGACTGCTCTGGCAGCTCCAGAACGGTGGACTACACAGTGCATATGATCAACTTGCATCTGGGTTTTCTTGAAGAATTCTCAATGGATCGCGTTGGACTGAATGGCATGTACTTCTTCATGGCATTGTATGGATGTCTTGCAGCTTCTCAGCTTGTGGCCATGTTGAAGAGGAGCACAAGCGCGAAGACACAGCACCCGATTCGACTTCTGCTCAGTGCCTGTGTTGCAGCAGGAATGATCGGCACGTTGGCTAGCTTGCTGAATGCGCTGTATTACGCTTACCACGGTGAAGACCAAGCCAACCTGTATATGGCCGCCAAGCTGTTGAAAGCCGGATCCAAATATATGTTGCTGACCATCTCGCTGCTCCTGTCACGTGGTCGATGTATTTCTGTGCCACTTTATGGCCGAGACTTGTGGCAAGCCTGCCGCATTCTGTGCCCACTCTATGTGGCAACGATTTGTTTAGAGGTTTGGGGCGAATACTCCCAGTCCCGCAACTACACCACAGATTTGGTCTACTATACTCCCATGGGTCTCATCATCATGTGCATAGATTTCGCCTTGTTTGCCTTCTACTTGAGAAACTTGTGCAACTCCTTGCGGTCAGAGACAGATGCGATCCGACAGGGCTTTTACAAGTTTTGGGGGTTGATCTACTCTGGAGCCTTCCTGTACCTGCCAATCTCCATTGTCATCGCCCAGAGCGTTGCTGCATGGGTGCGTTCAGAGGTCATCTTTTTTGTGTCGAATGCAACGCATTGTGCTTTCTTGGCCTTACTGATTCTGGGACTTTGGCCTGACTACGCCCAGCCCTTCTTTTGTATAGATCATCCATCAGCTTTGGCTCAGACCTTCGGGGTCAAGACAGAATTGCTTGATGACGAGGAGGTTTGGCAGCCGCCAAGCCTAGGCGGTGATGTCGAGTTGCGAACGACGGGCTGAATCCTTCAAGCTATTTGCAGGAAGTGGGGAGAAAGAAAAGCTGCAGCACACGGTTGACAAAGCAATAAGAGACAAGGAAGATTTGGTGAAACACCGTGCCACCATGCTACGAATTTCTTTGCCCAACCCACATGCTAAGACATACCCACGTGCCACAGGGTGGCTTGAATGCCGAGGCTTCCGATAAAGTAGAAATCACGCTTAGCTTATTCATTTCGTCAAACATATAGAAACCTCCAAGAACCTGGGAATGGGGGCCCCATTTTGGCAACTGTTTTAGCATGTAAAATCAGCGTTTCCTCAGCTGCGACATGTCAGGGGGCCGCATCCTCGAAGCTGTGAGCAGACTGACACCTTGACGAGCCTGGATGTGAAGGAGAGAAGCGACGGTCCGTTGCTGGAGAAGAATCCAGAGGGAAGAATTTAAAGATGAGACCACAAGGAAACAGCCTTTCTCACAGCCAGTTTTTCTTGGACCTAGACATATTCGCGTGCAAGGTTGATGTTTTTTTTTGGAACTGTTGTCCTTTGTGAGCCACGAGCACCCAGGTTGCGTTGTACCAGGAGTAGGGCCAATACAGTCGATTCAGTCTCCTGATTGATGCATAACCAATGATTTGTCACCTCAGTCATGTGCTGGTCATCCTTGACGGGGCACGAGGACCTGGTGACCTCGCATGGATCCGTCCCTCTGTGGGACCGAGGACATGGCTTCCTTGGAAGCAGTGGTGCGGGCATCGGCCTGCACGTCGACCAGGCAGAAGCCGGCGGAAGCCGACGGACGCCGGCGGACGCGTGGTCTGCACCTGTTGAAGCGAAGCCCATGTTGATTGAAGCAGGATAATTTCTGCTAGTGGCTTGCACATTCTCTGAGTCTTGATGATGGAGATGAATAGTGTTGAACCATGTTGAACCAATTCCTGTGTGTGGACCTCGTAGACGTGAGAGTTGCTGGTTTCTCCGCCTGACCTGCTTGGTTCGTGTAGGTTCGTGCGTCCTTTGCATTGCCGATGGTCGGAAGGCTTGGTGGAGCAACATCGCAAAGAACTTCTATGGGTACAAACTGGTGGCACTCTGGGCTCCAGGCAGGGGGATGAGGATGAGGTGACGATACTAACATTGGGCAATCCAGGGTGCACTCTTGCTCTTTTGTTGCAGTCATTCTTGTTATATAGATTTACGTGGTGTCATTTGTCAGGAACTTGTCTCAAGAGTTCTTTTGTCAATGTGTGCATAGAGCCATACAGAGCCTTTCGTTTGTTACAAGACTGTGGACGTCTCAAGCTATGCTTGGGCTATCTTGGGCTCATTCAAGCCAATCGAGCTCTCACTTCTTGTCCAAGTGCTTCAAGACATGTTGGAGGCTCCAACGTGTTGGAGACGTGTGGTGGAGAACTCTTCAGAAGCTTACTTGCATGATCCACCCCAGCCCCACCAACTGATGAGCAGATTGATTCACGAGGACTGGAGGTTTGCAGGAGATTTGGAGCGACATTGACCGAGCAATCTAAGGAAAGCCTTTGTGTACTGCACTCGGTGGGAAGATGTGGGGTCAGACGGATTGCTCGGTAGGGAAGATGGTGGGAATCAATGGGACTCACTTTGAAAAGAAGAATAAGAATCTTTTACTGTCTGTACCTTGTGTCGATGTTGATCTTGTTGCTCCACACCAGGGGCAAATGGATTAGATTTCCCCTCCTATAGGTACCCGTACTATTCAAATAAGGAGACCTCCCAGTTCGACCCTCTAAAGAAAGGGAGAACAATCAGAGCTTTGTGCTGCCCTTGCAGGCGCATGTCTCAAGCATCTACACTTCCCAATCAGTCTCCGCAAGAGAAAGAGGATAGGACTTCCTCTTTGTGGCAAGTTGGAGCCCAATATGAGGCACAGTTCAAACACAGCAGAGTAGCACAGCAGGGGCTCCTGGCCATACTACTAGGAGTAAAGGACGCTACGAACGGGGCTCCTGGGCACAGGCCCGAGAGATGTCCCACCCAGGCCATCGACACCTGAGCGCCCTAGATCGCTGCTGTGCGGTGGCGCTCCTTCGACCAGGGGATGTGGCCTGCTTCACTGGAGGTGAGGGCCTTCACTGATGGCTGACCGGAGATTGGTACGGCTTATTTGATCTTATTTGTTTATTTCATATGATTTCATGGTACTTCCAATGGGCACACATGTATAGCTATGCCTATAATACCCTGACATAGTCATTGTATATATATATATATACTGTATATATTCAGCAGCAAGTGATTAACCTTTTTCAAAGGCTCCAAGCTCGCGAGGCTTGCCCCACACGACCTTGGTGGTGGGATCAGAACTCAATCTCACTTTCTATGAGTGCCTTGGAGAGGGAAATGGATTGGCGTTGATAATCCAAGAGGATCAACGCTTCTTGTCCTCCCGTTTGCATTGATCCTTGGAAATTCTTTTGGAGATGTTGACTGTGATGCCTGAAAGTAGTTGACTGCATGCCATGGCGCAGTGGTGTGGTGATGTCAGATGGTGCTCATGCTATCGGACGGGGAGAACCAATAGACGCTTCTTTGTCCTCAAGGATGACTCTTAGCCAGCGAGCATGCTAACCATAGCCCACGGAGCATAGTTTTGCAAATCAGAGTTCTGAGCATGGGCACTTTCCCACAGATTTCCCGCCACATTCTGGTACAAGTGCTGGAAAATAGAGAAGATTGCATAGGCGAGTTGAGGTCATTTTCAACTGATGTGTGCTATTCGCAGGCTGTTTGTAAGCAACTTTTGCTTGAATGCACCAAGGAGTTTCGTGAACTGGAATTGCAGGGGCCTTAATGTGCTCGTTAGACGAAGGGGATGCATTCCAAGGCCAAAAACATGCAAAAAACTATTGTGTTCAGTACATTGAGATGCCAGCATTTCGAAGCACGCTCCGCAGATGCGGAGTCCATCAGTCTGTCAACCACCTTTTCGCTGCCCTGAATATTTCATGCGGGTCTTGTAGGCCGACTGCTGAGGTGACAATCTTGCTTTGCTTCTTTCAGGACTCCAAAGACCCATCGACCAAGCTTGGTGGCAGAGACTTGGTGACGAAGACGTTAGCGAAGTGAGCGAAGCGAGAGTCATGCACCTGGTGGTAGCCTTTCAAGCTTTCTTTTCTGGCTCATTTAGTTTGGCTGACCACCCAGCTTGCGGGCATGATTTGTGTTTTCCATGTCGTTAGCGTTTTCACAACAACAAACCGGTGTTGCTGCGCTGCGTTTCTGGAGCGGTGTGCCTTTGTTGATTCACCTGAGTCTTTTTGGTCATGTCATGTTGCATCGAACATGCTCTTGACCTAAAAAGCCCGAACAAAGAGGGCATTTTTGTGTGTCTTGTTCAACTGTCTCAATTGCTTTTTTTGTTCAATGTGATAATATGCATCTAACATGTGGTGCTTTGACCGAGATCGCCGCCCTGTAAATCCCTGTGAAAACTACACTCGGGAAGATTAACATGGAACCTGAAAACCACTGGGTTGTAGAGGAAAATAGTCTTCCAAAGGTCCATTTTCAGGTTCCATCATGTTAGTTTTCGGGAGTGTACTTAGTTGGGACTATCATTGCCCTTGTCGTTGATATTTTCTTATATTTTAAAATTTTACTTGTATTTTGTTTACAGCTACAGTATATATATAATGTTCGACGATGAACTATATAGGAATGGCGAACGTACAGGAAGTGGTGGGCTGAGACAAAGCATATACAGTAACTTAGGATAACTTATGCAAATTCTCCCACCCAGTAGCAGTCCAAGAACAATCATCACTAGATTAGTAAAGGCGCCTAGTCAAGCGGATAAGCTCACCGTTACCAGGTGTGGTGATATCCCAAACACATCCAAACACAACTTAGGTGATGATCAGATATTATCAACAGATGAAGCATATGAGTCATATGAGGAGTATGTTGTGTGCAAGGAAAGGATCAATATTACGGAGAACTAATGACGTGCAAAGAAGCTGAGCTGGTGAGGGTGTTGGCCAGGATGTTAAGGCTTTTCAAAACATCTCAGTTAAGTCAACACCGGCCCATCTGCTTCGTTCGCGGATGATCGGCTATGATACTGCAAGCAGGAGACTAGAGGTGGTCATTGTTTGACAACCACTCACTCAAAAACCTTGCAAACTCTGCAGCTGAAGGAACAATATGTCTCCCGAGTTTGCGCAGACCGCATCTTTACTGCAGTTTATCATCGTTGTTTCCGGTCATTTTGCCACCATGCATCTATGTTTATCCTGAGGTCCTGGATGATATCCTACGAGTGGTAGATGCAGGTCTGACTTACATAATCACCTCGTCGCTACTTACCCAGAGAATAACGAGCTTTTGTGTGGACATAGCCAGCCCCGGTCCCTTTGTGTCTTGCAGCACTCACTCAATTCAACCCCCTGAGAGTATCAGTCAAGCAGGAGTCAAACATATCATCAGTCATACCGAGTCATACCACATCACACATGGAGCTTTATGAATCCAACCAACCCCCTTTGCACCTGCTACGATCTGAACCATGCTCCCTGTCCACTGGTGATGTCCCGCAGGAGGCAAGTTGGAGGAATTCCAGGAACGATTTGTCTCATTCCTTCGTTCGAGGCTCGGAAGTGTAAAGGTAAACAAGTGGGACGAGTTGGGCTTGCATGGGCTTGCCCATTGAATTTGTTGGGCGTTTTCAGTTCGGCGCTTACTTAAAAGCACCATGGAGGCTTTGATCTGCCGCACAGTTTGCTTTGATCAATTGACCAGGCCCATCGCTGCTGCTAGACTGGCTGGCACGGGCACTGCAGTTCAGGGTTGATCAATTGATCCAAACGGTTGGCCAATACCCTAGAAAAAATGCACCTCTGAGAACTAGACACTTTGAGGAGACTTCTGACAAGATTCTTTACATGGTCATGAGTATGTCATGAGTAAGACTGAACTTGAGAGACCGCACGGAGACAAGGCAGTGAGAGCTCTTTTGAGTTGTCCCCAAAAAACATCAAAAGACCATTCATCATTTGTCCTGACAGCTTTGTTTTGCAAACCACACTGTATGTTTTTGCTTCTTTTGGTTCATCCCTGTCCTAGGCAAGGTTCGTCCAAGTGGAGAAGCCCCAATGAAAAGGCCATGGACGGGTCATATGTCGCACCGTTTGAGCATGCCCTTTTCGGATCCTCCCCCTACAGTGCAAACGGAGTTTCACGATGTTCCATGTGGGGAGAGGGAAGGGAGGTCCAATTCTGATTCCGGGTCTCAGATGATGGAGCCAGATTTGCTGGGTTTCTGACCAGGATAACTTTTTGGGAATACTTCCACCCCGGAGAACTGATCTTCTTAACAAGGTTTCTCAGTCTGCAGAGTTCAGGGAACAACCTGAAGTCCTGAAGCGTGACTGGGTGACTTATATACCTCAGACTAGCTAGTTGCTTGGTTGCTGTAAAAGAGCACATGTTTGGGCCTCTCCGCCGGTTCATATCTCCTGGCATCCTGTTTGGGCCAACCCTGTTTGGATCTGTTTGAGACCCCCACATTGCCACTTTCAGCCCATTTCAACAAGACACCCAGTGTATTCCAGTGTTCATTTACTTTCTCTAAGTATGTGAGAGCACAGCTCATCTCCTTCCTTCACACTCGACCTTTGCGCATCACTTTGAAGGCGATGTCTCAGATCCTGAGAACGGGGCTGCGCAGAGCAGTGGCTCCATTGCAGCAATCTCAGCTGTGCTTTTTGGATTTGTTTTGGTCAGAAAAACATCAACTGTGTTCTATCACAACTGGTTAGTACAACTTTTTTGGGTTTGAGCTCCATGGAATTCCACTTCAGAAAGGGGAAAGCCTCCCATCGATATGGTCGCGGGTTTTTCCATGTTTTTCCCCATCGTGCCTCTGTACATGAGGCACTTACTATAGCCAGTGCAACCCATACTTTTTCGAAGGAGGCATGGCTGTTTTGCAGCCAGCCAGTGTTATGTTTTATCTTTCTAAATTCAGCAAGAACATGAGGGAAGCTGGACTGTTGTTCTAAGTATAAGAAAATGCACTGTCTCCACTTTCCCACTCGTTCGGGGTTCCACTTTGTTTGTGCAAACTGGCAGTCTTACTGTCTGTTTGTAGCCTTTGTTTCTAGATTCGCGCTTGTCATTTTTGAATTTCTCGAGCAACTCAGACACGTGATGCTTGTGTGGGGAAAACAGAATGTGTGCTGACCGGCTTTGCAGGTGAACAGCATTGCGCTGACCCGACTTAGTGGTGAAAGAGTTGATCATGGTGTGCAAGGTCGGTATCTCCTCTAGTTTCGAGGTGCAACACACACGCACACTCACGAAATCATTGGTTCTTTCTGAGGATAGACCGTATGCAGTTCGCTGGAAATGAGACGCAGGTCAAAAGAAAGGCTTCACCAGACAGAGAAAAACACCTTTTACTTTTGGACCTTAGTTCCATATCTTTGCTGAGAAGCACAGGCTCGTCATTGTGCCTTCTATACGAAGCATTAGGTTCAAGTTGGCAGATCTAACTTTTGAGGTTTCGCTTCGTAGCCATGGCGGACTCGAAAGTGAAGGACATGGGCCTGGCAGAGTTTGGCCGCAAGGAGCTGACATTGGCAGAGCATGAAATGCCAGGTCTCATGGCTGCTCGGAAGGAGTTTGGTCCTTCACAACCCTTCAAGGGATTGAACATCAATGGCTCTTTGCACATGACCATCCAGACAGGTGTGCTCATCGAGACCTTGGCCGCTTTGGGCGCCAAGGTGCGTTGGTGTTCTTGCAACATCTTCAGCACTCAGGATCATGCTGCCGCAGCCATCGCCAAGGCAGGCACTTCCACGGTCTTCGCATGGAAGGGAGAGACGCTGCCGGAGTACTGGTGGTGCACTGAGCAGATGATGACGGTGCCCGGAGCTGATGGTTGTGATCAGTTGGTGGATGATGGAGGTGATGCCACTCTCTTGGTGCACAAGGGCAAGGAGTTGGAGGAGAAGTTTGCCAAGGATGGCAGCTTGCCAGACCCAGCAAGCACCACCAACGCCGAGTTCAAGTGTGTCCTGCAGGTGTTGAGGGATTCGATCCAGGCAGACAAGACCAAGTACACCCGAATGGCTGCCAAGTGCAAGGGCGTCAGTGAGGAAACCACCACCGGTGTGCACCGCCTTCGTGAGATGGCGGCCAAGGGTGAGCTGCTCTTCCCGGCCATCAACGTGAACGATTGCGTGACCAAGTCGAAGTTTGACAACGTCTATGGCTGTCGCCACTCGCTGCCCGACAGCATCATGCGTGCCACAGATGTGATGATTGGTGGCAAGCGTGCCCTGGTGGCCGGCTACGGAGATGTTGGAAAGGGCTGTGCCTTTGCAATGCGAGGAGCTGGGGCTCGTGTGCTGATCACAGAGATTGATCCCATTTGCGCCTTGCAAGCATGCATGGAAGGTTTCCAGGTGGTGACCATTGAGGAAGTGGTGGGCGAGGTTGACATTTTTACATCTGCCACTGGCAATTTCAAGATCATCACCCTGGAGCATATGAAGAAGATGAAGAACAATGCCATTGTTTGCAACATTGGTCACTTTGACAATGAGATTGCCATGGAGGATTTGGAGAATTTCCCCGGCATCAAGGTTGAGAACATCAAGCCGCAGGTGGACCGCTTTGTCTTCCCTGATGGCCATGGTGTGATCGTCTTGGCATCTGGCCGCCTGGTGAACCTGGGATGCGCGACCGGCCACCCTTCCTTTGTGATGTCGTGCTCCTTCACCAACCAAGTCTTGGCTCAGCTTGATATTCTAGAGAATTGCACCAAGGCCAAGAAGTACAAGAATGATGTGTACCTGCTGCCCAAGAAGTTGGATGAGAAGGTGGCATCTCTGCACTTGCCATCCCTGGGAGCAAGCCTCACCAAGCTCTCCAAGGAGCAAGCTGAGTACATTGGCGTGAAGGTGGAGGGACCTTTTAAGATGGATCACTACCGCTACTAAATGACGTCGAGTCGCAGTGAGTGTGCCTGGATTGCAGTTCCAGTTGCAGCACGTAGTGGCATGTAGCAGCTGCCAGCCTTTTCTTGAGGTTTCCCTTTGCAGCAAAGCTTGCCCTTGGCGGAAAGCGTTTGGAAATTCTATTCGCGGATCCCAAGGGACCTGGGCTGCTGAGGAAGTCGACAACATTAAGTGCAGTGAGGAAAGAACTTGGCAGGCGCTTAAGCAGAGGCAGCTGTGAGCAGCTTTGATTTAGTCATTGCTCCTAAAGCCAATGAAAAACAACCTTAGATCTAGCGTTTGGAGTCAGACAAGGGCTTATCCGCCACAAGTTTCTCAAGCATTTGTGGTTGACACCCCGAACATAGAGGAATCGGTTCATTTGATCCGGGGTCAACCCCCTGGTTTTGACCCACAGTCTCCTTGATTCCGCCAGGACCTTCCAAGCAGACTCTGCTGCCACCAGCACATCCCAAGCAGACTACGCAAGCTGCCTTCCTGAAGGACACAAGCCAAAATGCAACATGACGAGCGCTTGATTTCATACTATACCAATCCTTACCATCCTTTCAACTTGACTTTGTTGAATCAATTCGTGAGTGGGGCTGGCTGGACAAAGTTTCAGTTGGAAGTACCGGTTTGGGGAGTCAGCTGGGAACAGTTAGGTTTTCTTCGCTTTGTTCAACGGCAATTTTCGTTATTTGTTGTCAATGTTGAAGATTCTTTGTCCTCGCGTGTTCATGCTGATAGCATTGTTGATGAGCATCCGTTGGAAGGAAGTCTGCTGAAGGGCAACCGCGCAGAATATTGGCAATCTATAACTCTCTATGCAGAGAGATCAGAGATTTCACAATGAGGGGACAGCTTTCAACTCGTGTGATGTCCTGTGAGACAGGGTCTCCTCATCAAATTGCAGGGTCTCCTCATCAAGTTCTGAGCAGCCAAGCTGATGAAATGAGCGAATGGTACTGCATTGGCTGTGTACTCAATGGCACGTTGACTTGTCGTTGTGCTTCCCTTGGGAGATACTGTAAGCGCCCTTAGGTTAGAGTCTAGAGGCTATCGCTATTAGGTTGGAGGCCATCGCTTCTAAGGGTGGAGGCCCATCGCTATTAGGTTCCTTTTGCAATTAGGATGGAGACTCAGACGTTCGTTGTGATGACTGAGGCATTAGTACAGCTGTCCGAGAAGGTCAGAGGAGGACGTCCATCGCAGAGATTGAGGAGCGTCGACCCACGGTGTTAATACGTCGCCTTTGCCGTCATGGAAAGGCCTCGATTTGCTTTGGTCATTAGAAGACGCACGCTTCTTTTGAGGCGTGCGCTCGGCAGACCGAAAGTAATCAATGTCACACTGAGACATGTGTTCCAGATACCCGCACCGGATGCAGGTTGCTGAACTGCACAGAAGCCGAACCGGACTCGGTTCGTTGCGGCAGGCGGTTCATCAGTCCGCAGCTCCTGCCAGAGGCTTTCCGCTGCAGTGGATACTGGACCATACTTGTCCCGATCCCTAAGCAGGATCAGCGATAACCCAGACTCTTCATTGGGTTGTCCGGTAATTCGTTGGGTTGTTTGCATGAGCTCAGCAATCACTGCTACTTGAAGAGGAGCTTGTTGGTGGGACACCCAAACTATATTGAGAATCATTCTTGGCGTGGGAAGGATCCAGCATTGAGGGTAGCGACCCACCTCCATCATTTGAGAATGTTTGCCAAAGGAAGTCCTTTCACTTTCCCTTTGTCCCTTTCACTTTCCGCAGGGTTAGGTCCGGTCCACAACTATCCAGTTTCATCTTGGGAAGTACATTGCGCTGCCTTTTTCATGCCAGGAGCAACACCTAAAAGTCCTGAGAGGACAGGTGCTGACATTGCTCGCACATCGTCAGTTGTGTCGTCAAAAGGCACACAAAAAATTGCATACTGGAGTAGTCTCGTAGTCATGTTCTTAGGCCCGACATTCCAGGGAATTGCTTTTCTGCTCGTATGTATAGTAGAATGTTGATCCGTTCCGTGAATGTTTCGTTTCAGAGTGGATTTAGCGTGTAACTTACCAGAGAGCTGCGTGTTCTGTCAATCGGTGTTTGACGGTCCACACTGCTCCCACCAATGCGATAAGTATAGACCGTGTCCTTTGTAAGCATTTTCAAGTGGTCCAACTTCTCAAGGATCCCGTTGAAAGCTGATCAATGTTGACTTGATTCACAGCATCTTGCGGATCGAATATGTAGAAACCGCAAAAAACTGGGAACTCTTTAGCTTGCCGAATGCTACTGCCAGCAGGGAAACATTTGATAGAAGATGGTGGGATTTTGACCTGTTTGGCAAGGATTTGTGCTGTGTATGGCTTGGTGTGTCTTCAATCAAGTTCAAAGCTTTCAAGAAGGATCAGCGAGGATGAGTTCCGGTTGCTGAAGTTCGACACGCTCAAGCTTGACAAATTGAAGGACGAAGGGGTGAAGGCTTCCAACAGCGTCCCAAATTGATCCGATGGCATTGGATCTAAGCTACCCTTGGCTTATGTTATATCAAGTCTCCCTAAACATCTAAGAACTAAATCATTCATGAAGCCTGACTTAACCCTGAGCCCCTCTGCCTCTAAGCCTGAGAAGCTACTCTGAATCGCCATACAATAAAAGAAGGTGACGGAAGCGACTGAAGCGACCCAGACGTGGATCGCCCAGGATGTAAGCAGCAAGGTCATGTCCTTGGTTGCACAAGGACGATTTTTGCTGTGTGGCATAAGCATTCGTGCGAATGAATTGAGACAGTGGCACAGTGCTTTTCTAGAGCTAGCCAGCTGCACTACCTGTAATATCCTGCGATTCACAGGACAGCCTGTCCTTACTTATTGTTCTTTTGTATTATGTTTGTTGGAGGAGTATCTCAGGCGTTGCAACCGCTCGGACAGACCAGCTTGGGGGTTGGAACACATAGTTGGCAGGAGCTCGAGCCGCTGCTCAGTCGGTTGCGACACTTGGCAGCACCAAATATGTCCTTAGGGCAGGTTTGTGGGAGGTGTGCTCCAATCCATTCCCAGCCCAAGTTTTTCACAGTTTTTCCTTGAAACTGTGTTCACTACTATGCTGAAGCCACCGGGCCACCAGTTTGCTTACAAAAGCATACAAATTCATCCCGCAAAGCGGTACGTCCACAGCTCAGCTTGGTGACCAAGCTGTTTACGCTGAGCAGTGGTACCTTCTGAGCCTTCTGAGTCGACCAACTCGGGCGCCGAAGAACGGTAAGCCAAGATGAGCCACGCATCTCACCTTGTTACTCGAAGCTTCTAGCCACTAGTAGTAATGCCCTTGTTACTAGTAGCATCTCACCATTTCTTTCGGTCCAAACAAATGCGTAAAGATAGTAAAGCGCGTCTCAGGCCCTCTGCGGTCCAAAAGGAGGCGGGGACTCCGGCTTTTGTGAGGTGAATCATGATGAATCACCAGTGTATGATAGTAGATGGTATCCCGACAGGGGTCTCCATACCAGACTACGCCTACAACGAAGATTTGCACAGTCCCTACTACTTGGGTGAGAACCACCGGGCCTATCCAGGTCTCATCCGGACTTTTTCACCTGAAGAATAAGAATACCTGAACAACGCAGTGGGTGGGTGTAAATTGACAGTCATCCCAAAGTGTTCCAAAGTGAAGTTTTGACCTATCCAACTCTTACCCAAGCTGTGAACCAACCAAAATCACTTCCGGTCCCAATGCTTCCCCTTCTGGGTCCTTCTGGGTCGTCCCACTGCAAGAGTCGCTGCCCAATCTGCTTCCGGTGCCCACACTAATGTTAACCCTGTGCATGGTTTTGTGCATGATGGACTGACTGGGTGCTGCAAATTTGTATGCCATTTCCCACTAAAGCCTCAACAACCAAGAGGGTAGGTGTACCTACTCTAGCATGATCAAATGCCTCTGCAGGTGTATGTCCCGTACAGGCTAGCAGCATCTAGCAGCTAGCACCATAATCTTCTAGCACTAGCACCCTTCTACTGTACTGGCAGGCTTGTGGATTCATAGACTCGTTCGATTCAAGTTTCTCGTTCTTTCCACCCCTCTTCCTGCGTGCACCTGCCCACTCTGAGCCACCCGTTCAGGCGCTTTCGAAGACCCTCACGCCCGCAGCGCCGCCGAAGACCCCTCGGCGGTCGCCTTCGGCCTTGGGGGTGTTGGGACAGATGCGACAGGCGTGACCTGACCTGACAGTGGTTTTTTTTGTTTTTTTTTTTCCCGGTGCTGTTGGTTTTGCCAGTTAGAATAGACAGCACGTTTAAGCATGGACTTGAGACTTAGGACAACATGAGTTGTTCATGTGGTTTTCCCCGCGGTGGCCTACAAGTAACTTCTGGCCATGCCCCCTGTGTAGAGGAAACATGAGGGATCATAGAAACGGTTAAAATACCTGTCCAATCGGTCCAATCCCATCTCCTTTTCGAAAGCTAGACATTTGTACAATTCATGACAATTCCACGACCCGTTACTTTTCGCTGGTGTGATGTTGGTCACATGCAATATGGATGATTCATACACATAATACTAATGCTTACTAATTACTGGATAAGTGGTCGTGGTGTTTCAAGACTTCCAAGCGTGGCACCCGCTTCTCTCCAGCAGCATGGCCGTGACGATTCGGCAGGCGCCGATCTCTGCACTGCAGAGGCTGGGTTTGTCGTCAGACAGGGCTCGGTTTCTGTAAACCACAGATATTCATAGATATCCCCTTTTTCCTCTCAAGGGTAAATGCGCATCTCTATGTAGAATTCACATGGGGGAAGCTCGTTTGCTTTCTAGGAGCTGCTTCTTCAGCGTGCTTTCTATCTTGGTCGCACAAAGGCATACAAAGATAACAACAAAAGGCCTAACATGGGGGAATGCAAACAGGATGTACTGCAATATCCTGTAGTTATATTCTTTCCCGACCGCTGCTCTCTCCCTCAATCGCATCTCCATCATGGGCAGAGTTCTCCAGTCAAGGGGCGCAGGGCTCACAGTAAATACCATATATTTTCGTGGGTTCTTGGGCTTTAGTGTGGTTGATGATTTGGGAACCGTCGACGTCTAGTGGTTGTGAGTGATTGACTTTCATTGACTCTCCAGACTTGGAAGTTACCAGTTCAGATCGTGCGAGGCTTGTGGATTCATGTTGCTGCTACCAACACAAACGGACCATGTCTTCTGGCAAGTCGCGGGGGCGAACGACTTCTGTCTCTGAAGATGTGACACCAGGACTGACAACACCCACGCAGAAGCAGGCAGTACAAGGTGACTTGGCATGGCGCAGTACGGGTCAGAGCGCTCTGCGCCTGACGCGGGTCAGAGCGACGGGGTGTTGGTCTCCAAGCACGGAATGTGCGATGTGGGGCAAAACGGGAGACCGACATCAGCCCACGTGTAGAGGGCCTTTGTTTTCCTACAACATCCTGCAACTGAAAGAAAGAATCCTGCAACTGAAGCCTTGGTTTTCATGATCACGTACTTCCTATTGCCCACTTTGTTGAACTAGGAGCTCTGATGCCATGGCCCGAGCTGCAAGCAGCCAGCGCCAGCCGCAGAGGCACGCTGTGACTCCGTGATCGATTTCATGAACGTTTCGGGTAACTGTAGAGATTTGCCATCCGTTTGACCATCCAATTCCCAACAAAGCCATCTATCCACTTCCCACTCTGCCACGTGGATTTGAGAGCAGATCTTTCCGCTACTAAGTCAGTGCCCGGTTGTTTGGCGGAGTACAGATTCTGTGGATTTCAACCTTCAGTGGGTTGGAATTGTGCTGGGAAGAAAAATTGGGCTGTGCACGCTGCACTATGAGAAGTCTATTGGCAATACTAACGTTACCAGCACACAGTGGCCCCTTCACTGTTCAATTCGTTTGTCCTCCACGACTGCGGTCCGAAACGATCCGGATCCGCTCCGACCTCCGCCCAGGCTCGCTTCCAAGGCCGTGGCCTATGATGAGGCAGCGTGAGACCGAGCCAGACCGAGCCTGGATGGATACCGTCATCACAACGGTGCAGTCCGAGCCTAGTAGTCCGATCGCTCCTAGTAGCGATGCCCTTTGTTCCTAGTAGCTTATTTGTTGCTGCACTTGGGTTTCCACAGTCAGATGGACACCATCGATGGAAACACAACATCCAGATGATGCGGGCTCGCCCTTTGGCTCCCTCCCGCCACAGGCATCGGCCGAAAAGGAGCTGCAGCGTCAACGTGAGGCGTGGCAGCACTGGACTCGATGTTCATTGCAAGCAGCAAAGTTCTAAGATCTCTCCTTCCCAATATGCCTCAGGTATATTTATAATTAACTGCTTCCCTTTCCCACACTTTGCCCAAAAGGGTTTCCTTTCTTAATCAGGTGCAGGGCAGGGATGTTTGAGGTGAAATGGTGCAATGTTGTTGATTTCATCGGTGATGGTGTAATCTTAATGAATGAATCTCGTGAAAAGCATACTTTCCACCGATTGTTTTTGAGGAAGAGTAGCTCCTGAAGCACTTTGGTGTCGGCTTACACCTCAATTCTTAGAAATGGCAAAGATTCCCCTCTTCATGCATTTCCAGATTCCTTTCTGGACATGTGTTTTCTATCATTTTCTCTTGCTGTGATTGGTTTCCAAACGGCTCTTGCAGGAAGAAGAGCGGGAAGCTCATGCGAACATGGAGGACTATACCGACCCCATGGACTAAGAAAGGGGTGTTGCTGTTAGTGTTGACCATGTGCTGATACCCCAAATCCCTCCAGCGATTTGATCAAGCGCACCGAACAGCTCTGCGAACCTCCGGGCAACCCCGGACGCTCAACCAAACCGACCGTCCAGACGCTGCCTCGATGGCACGACCGGTCTGGCCGTGTGAGGACCTCATGGACGAAGTGCGCAATCGCAGGCGAGGTGACTTTGAAGTGGTAGGATCACGAAACGCTTTGCCTCAGCGTTTGAAGCAGATCCGCACATCCAGGAAAACATACACAAGTTGTGAAGTGGGGGAAGATGTTCAAGGATTACAACACATATTGAATTATCAGGTCCAACCAGTTGGTTCTTGAGCGTCCAAGGCGTCATTTCATCATAGAAATTCGTTTCAGAACAAGGCACATTTGCAATGATGTGTGCTGTAACCACCTTCGTGTCCACCACATACTACAGTAGTACTTATGCCTTATGCATCCTTATGCCCACTTCATAAACTTTGTGTTAGTTTCTATGTAAAATGAAGCACATTATGATTGATTGGCATCTAGACGACGTCTGACTTGGAGCTTGGGAATGCTGTTTGTCACTATCTGAAATGTTCAGAGATAAGAGTTGTGGGAAGCGATTCCAATCTGACCAAGTGTTTTAGTCGCTCTCCTGATGGAAGCAACATGTCAGGTCCTGGTGATAGCAGCTAGCTAGCACTGCTTGCATCCTGAGAAAGCTCCGAGATTTCGGTGTGGGTTCCTTGAAGCTATAATGCATGTTCTAAGCTGGAATGTCATGGAATGACCATTGTTAGACAATGTTGTGCGTCAAGATGGAGAAACAATCACTTCGTGAGTATCCACGTCACAATTATGATGTTTGATTCTTGCTTTAATCACTTCAGGCCTTTCAATTGCACTAAGGCCACCTGTCCTTTGCATGCAAAGACAAGTATATATTATATATAGTAATTACGATATGTTAATTACTGTATATTATATTTGGATATTATACAAACTTTCGTTCGGGAGGTGATCAATGAACCCAGACCATCCATGGTGCCGTCGCTGGAGAAAACATCGCAGTCCATCAGGTCTGGTTGAAAAACACCTATCCACACTGCAGGACATCAACGTCGCTCAGGTTTGTCACGAAAACAATCGTCTTGTGGTCACGAACAACAACGCACTCCGACCAACCATCCATTCTGTGGGGAAATACATCCTGTCCATGACCTTTGTTGGTCGAGAACATGGGTGAACTCAGATGAGCTCACTGGAGAAAAGCGTGCCCAGGAATATCTGGGAGCCACCTTTGAATAACCCACGCAAAGATAGAACATTGGAATTTGCTCCATCTTTTTGAGTCACTATAAGATCATTCTATACACTCAATTCCTTGACCTTGGCTGAAATAGCAAACAGCTGTACTGCTCTGCCCGTGAAACCGCTGAACTGAACCCCAACATGTCAACAATCCCTTAGACGAATACACATGGGCCTGAGCCATGGAACCCCCTCAAAGGGCCTGACCTGTTGGTCGAGTGTTGACATCAACGGCACGAACAGTGTTAAGTGTTAAGGCCACCAACGGGGTGCGACGTGAGGTGAACAACTAGGATCTCTCTTTTTTGGTCGGGTTAGGCCAATAAGGTGGGAGGAAGCTGTCGTAGCTTGAGTAGTACTAGATGGTATATAGATAGTATAGATAGATAGTAGATAGATGGTAGATAGTATATAGTAAGTTAGTAAGGACATCACCAACATGCCATATACAAGCAATAGCTTCTTGTTACTAGTAGCGTCCTTGTTACTACTAGTAAGGCACTTGTTACTAGAAGCGATGCACTTGTTCCTAGTAGCGTGGCACTTGTTACTAATAGCATGCGATGCTTCTTGTTTTCCCCAACAGCTGTAACTTGTCGTTCGTCCTTCGGCACGGCTCGGGGGGCCTGGTCGGACCGGTCGCGGCGTGCCGAACGGCTGAAGAGCTCGTGGAGTCCGGGTCGCTTCCTCCGGTTTTGAACAGATTTGAAGAGGTTTCGAGGAGGGGAGTATGCCCGTAATAACATAAAGCGGTGGTTGATCTTTTGGGTGGCAGGGTGGGACTTGAGCCTTTGTTCCTTTTCCATTTTAGCTCAAGTCCCATTGCTGAGCACCCGTCCCCCAAAGTTAGATGCGAAATGGACGGTTTGTTGCCTGATCGTGCAACACTTGACGCGTGGACGAGCGTCTGCGATGCGGCGCAATGGGGAGGCATGGACATTGGGTTGATCCGTTGTGTCACACGAAGGTTAGGAGACCAAGACCTGCAGTGGTTACACATATTGGCAGTGATCCCTGTCAGTGTTTGAAAGGGCACTCCAAGATGCCACCAGGGGTGCGAGAAAGTTGAACAAGGCTGAAAAGGCTCAGTAGAATTCAGTAGATATTGTCGGTCAGTGCCGTCCGGTGCAGCTGATACAACAGCGAGGGCTCCAACTTCAGTGGTCGATCCGAATCTTGGGAGCAGTGTCAAGTTGAAGCTCAAGATGAACCAAATCATGGATCAGGACTGCGACTTTGAAGTAGAGATGCCCAGGCAGTGTTCTCCAGAGGATGCGTGCAAAGTTTGTCATGGTGGAAGGGGGCAAGTGTTTGTTCCATATTCCCATATACTGTATGTTCTTTGGGTTTTCCATGGCTTTCCACCTTCCTGACAGATGTTGAAACGCTCCATGTGCATGCATTGTGCCATAGTGTGCCTCAAGGCTCAAGCGATGCAGAGCAGGTGCAGCAAACACGTAGATGGCTTATGGAACAGTTGTCGCATTTGTTGAGGACTTTTGTTCAGTAGAGGCAACCAGCGCTGAGCAACATTGTATATAGCTCGGATGTTAAGAGAAGCGGTACATTCAAACGTACGGTCGTAGATTTTGTCAAATCTGCGGCACTGAAGCCTTTTTGGCGACACAGGCAGGGCCGACAGTGCGCTACGCAGATTGAACCGTTTGCATAAAACGAAGGGACATCAAGCTGGCTTCCAGGGCCTTCCACGACCTTTGTTCAGTCATGGATAGGTGAGATGGTGCAAATCTTGAAGCCTGAAGAGGCTTTGTTTGATCTTGGAGATGGAAGTCTCGCGTTCGCGTGGAGACCAAAAGAGATTCGCATGCAGTGTGGGGCATGTGTCCTCCTTCTTTGAGAACTTTGAGATGCATCAAGGTGGGTTTGACGGTCCTGAAGATCACTGTTTAAGAATAATCGGAGCACATGGGAGCCTGGAGTAGGAACTTAGGAACTAGCCGCATAAAGAACCCACCAACATCATTGAACCTCCTGACATAGTGGAAAGCGAGCCGCGCGAATTTGATGAGTGTAAATGAGTTGATGACCTTCAGTCTAACAACTGACAACATGGAGCAATTCACGAAAGGTAGCTTGAGCTACCTGAGTTCTCCTTGCTTTAGCAAAAATGTATTACAATCAGGAGTTGGGATTGTGCATTGAGTTTGGTCCTGTAAGAGTTGATTCTGTTCGTCGGGGGGGGGGGGCCCCCCCCCTGGATCAAATCCTCCCTGCGCCGGTTCACGCCGTCATGGACTTCTACCAGGGTTACTTGTGATTGCCTGCTACCTTTCGTCGTTCACCCCCTCCTCTCTCAAGTCCATTTGGCCACACTCGAACAGATATGTGAGCAACGCTTTGTCACACTAAGACAATTGTATATATACACACAAGCACTGCACCTGTGTTTTTGAGTTCAGTCGTGTATAGTCTAGTGTCTAGTCATAGTCATCCTTCACTAGAAAGGACGACTTATACTACTAATCCAGTAGAAAGATAAACAAATGCTAAACTGACCCCACCTCACAACATGCTTTTCCTCATTTCAGCGACCTTAAGCCTGAGTCTTGAGTCCAATGTTGAACACAAATTTTCACCTAACTGCCTACCAAAATAGCCATCTCTTTGGACGATTTCTCCGGCCAACAAGTTTTTAGGCCAAGCGAGCTGCAGATTCTGCAGACGACTGGGCGGCTGCTTACAGGCTCCAGAGGCGGCGGAGTGGGTTATTGATGATTATTGACAATAGCTTTGTATCTAACACAGGCCAATGAAAAGAGATCACGACCCGTTGATGATTTTGAACAAGTCGATATAGTGGGATTACAAGAATATATATATATATATGATATATATATATGTATATACTGTGGCAAATCACTGGGGTCCGGGGTCCGGGGTCCTCTTGTTCTGAGGGGAGCTTTGTTGCCAAAAGCAAGAAACAAACTCACCTAGACGCACAGGATCTGGTGTTTGTTTCCTCGAAGGAGAAACTCGTTTCACTAGATGTTCCACAGATTGTCCTCTCAAATCGGACTTGGTCCCAAGCTTGAGGCGCTTCTAGATCTGGAGAAGAGGCGTCTAGCGGGGCCGTCGACTGCGATCCTTCACTGCGTCGAAACGTGTCAGGTGAAATGGGAGCAGCAAAGATGGGTCTGAACATTGACGATCCCTAGTCCCTTCAAACAAGGGGTTGGTCTACCTTTCACTTCATACCTCTCTAAGGGAAACAGCGACGTTCTGATGGGTGGCGCATGCCGGCACAGCTTTCGTGATGTCAGCCTAACAATTCCTTTGCTTGGAGAATTGTTGAGTCATTCTCACATCTTCAATTGCTAGGTAACTAGCCAGTCGGAAAGGCAATGGCCTGATAATTTGTGATGGCCCAATGATTTCCAACGGAACTCCGAGTTCCCCAAGTTCCCAGCTGCGGAACGCGCTTCCATCAGGCTCTCCACCGGACCTTGTCCATGCCAACATTTCCTAGCAGCGGTCGTCGACGGGGCCTCAGTGGTTTTTTACAACAAGTGCTGAGCGCATCATGGATCGTTTGAGGGACCATTCAGTGAAGTCAGTGAAGGCTGTTTATGTTTGTTTATGTTTGTTTCATGTTGTATTTTTTTTGGACATCCCAAGACTATTTTCGTTCTGGGATGGAACATGGGGGATTGCAGCATTCAAAATCATGTGAACTCGACATATATATATATAGACACGTGAATCATACATGTATGATCGTTAGTTACTTCTCTGTGTTTGATTCACATGTTCTTGCTTCAAGGTCTTTGCCGTTACATCCCTTTACACACAAAATCAACAAAACAAGTGGAGGTGGTCATTTATCTCCTTCCCACAGGCATTTGTTGGGGGTCGATGATCTTGACAATCAGTAGTTGGGGAGGAAATAGAATAGCCGTTCCTACTGATGGACAACACCCCTCACCACAGGATTTCACAAGGGATGTTGTCGATGCGTATGAATCAATAGTGATTCGAGATGATTTGGGCAAATCCAGGTGTTTAGTTTGGTTGTTGAATTTTGTTTATTAACAATTTCTTGGCATGTGCCTGCTGCAGTTCTTTTTTTCTGGCTGACCATTTGCTACTATTTGGTCACACCAATGGGGATGACGGGGTAACCATGGTGCCGATGAGCAACCTTCTTGAGGAAATGATGACCATCCTCAAGTTTAAACCATCGCACATTGTTTGAGTACAGGAGAACCCATGTGTCCCACATTTCCCAAGCCCAAATTCCTAAGCCTTTGAGTTCAACCCACAGCCAGCATCCATTTCTGCAGATGATAGGTGATACTCAGGGATTTGTTCTTCACATAGCCCCAAAACATCAACTCTAGCGCTGGCTTCTTGCAGGTCATGACTTTGCATTGCGGGAACGACTAGATGATCTCGAGGCATGTTTTCGACCTTGCAAGACAGTGATTGTTTAGGCCAAGAAGGGGACCGAGAGCAATCATGCAATGACATGACAATATCTTGACAATAACATGAACATCATTGATCACATTCATATCATCCTCGTGCGAGGCGAACAAGAGACCTGACAGAGCAAATCATACTGTAGTGGGCACATGAGAATGTGCTGGCTTCGAGGTGTGTGGTTTTATGAGCGTCTCATTTTCATGCACAGACTGGACATTCTTGCAGGTTTCCTCCGTTCCGAAGGACATGCTTTTGGAGACAGGTGCCCCCACTGGGCGTTTTTTGCAAACTTATTTTTGCATTGTTTTTGCACTGCTGGCATTGCAACAGCCTTTCGCCTACCTCTGAATCAAGATGAAGATGATTGACATTTGGCATTCATGAGTCAGAGAAGTGTGCCAGTCTAGATCCTTGGCAAAGTCACGATTTGCTGAAGGCATTTTTGTAATGCCTGCCACACTGTAGCTGCATCCTTGCCATAACGGAACGGCCAAATAATGTCGGCATCAGAAAGCCTGCCCGTTGTCTGGCAGAATTTGAAGATCGGCTGCGATGCTTGGAGTCACTGTTCAAGAAGGGCACGGCGCTGGACTTAGTTTGAGCACTGTAAGAACACTTCTTTGTTTTGCAAAGGAGTCACTGTAAGAACAGCACTGGTATGTCTCTTGAGCAATGAGCCAGAGCAAGCTCCATCAAGCATATGTTTGCGAATCACCATGTACACAAGCATATACAAGCTATCATCTTGCTAATTGTAAAGTGCTGGAAACGTTTCAACGGGTAATTTTGGATCGCATTTAGAGCTGCACCGCAGTTTTTGTTGACATATCCTATGGCCCATATCGTGGCGGCTGCATACTCTGGGCACATCGTGCAGGCTCCGTTCCTGTACACCTCTCCACCAAGCACTGGTGGGTCGATGCTCAGAGAGAGCGGACGGGTGAAGAAACGGGCCGGCAGGATTCGTCGGCAGGAAGTCGCTTTCGAGACACTGTGCCAATTTTTCGACTCGTGCCCCATCCTGGCAACAGACTTGTGCTGCTGCTTTTTGATGCTTTTTGAAGATGCAAGATGATGAAAGACACTCCTTTCATTGGCCAATGCATGACAATGCCAATAGCCTTTTGTGTACACTGGTCTGTTGGAGCCTCGACTGAGGCGTGCCACTGGCCGGCTGAGCACATCGCAAGGCACTGGTCGAGAAGTCGAGGTCTGTGAAGGTGGCCTTCGTTGAGCATGGAATAATCATTAATAATTTGATCTCCAAAAACGAGGCTCCAACTTTGGGGAACAAAACAGCTGAGTTTCTTCGCGAAAGCCTGACTATGTAACAGGAACTATCAGCATGACTCAGAGGGGGTCAGGCACTGTTCACTGTCCCACAAACTCCCACAGGACATGCCAGAAGTGTTGTTTCCTTATTCGTGCCAGGGAGATGTGTATCATTGGACCATGAGTGATCATGGGTGTGTTTTTTGCAAGTGACATTGACAGGAGAGATTAAGCTTCACCAGACATTTTGTCGAAGTCCTGCCATTCTTGGGTGTGCCCATTTTCCTATAGTTTTCACCTGTTCGTCGAGGCTCTCTAGCTTCGCGCTGCTCCACAGGCAGTACAGCATTTGGGGACTGACATGGACGGACCCATAGTGCCAATCGTCAACTCCTGGATGACAAGGTTTACACCGTTTACACCCCAGAACATTGACATGGAACGGACAAAGCCTGGGTTTTCAGTTTTCAGCGGAACATCGTTTGGGAAGCAATTTTCAATTTCCATGTGAATCCTTCCTGGGAGATCCTAGGATGTACAGCGACATGCGGAACATTGAATTCGTAGGTCCCGTTGCGAGGAGTGGCTTAGATGCTGTCTCCCATGATCCTCCGCATGCTTCGACGGGCACAGCTTCTTTGACGGGCACAGCTTTGCGCCCTCAAACTTGATTTCTTGCTTTCAATAGAGAACATAGAGCCTCATGATCGTTCTCCATGTGGCTGAACAAGTTTCAGCTCTTCAATTTGTCGTTTCCTCCACACTGCTTGAGGTGCGTGTCCTAGTCATTGTGTGTGTGTGTACCGAGTTAATAGAGTTGGGGTCATCGACTTCTCAAGCTATGAGGTTTCATTCATAGAGTTCTTGTGTGCAGTTACTGTGGCAGATTGATACGGACCACAATAGTCTATGGATGTCCATGGATGTCTTATATAATAAAGATTAATTTATAAGTGTGTCAAAGGCTGAAAGAGTCACTTTCATGATCCTGGTGGGTGGCACTCTTTGACCAAGTTGTCCTTTTGGCATGTCCTTCTGAGAAAAGTATGGACCGATGTCAGAGAACATGTGCAGGCCGGACGCTGAAAACACCTTCAGCCATGGCCTTCTGAGCACCAAAGCCCATGGCCCAAAGTGGAATGGCGGAAGATGTTTTAGCTAGGGGGAAATAACTATATATAGAAGGTATGTCAATATATGAAATACACCTATTAGAATGTATGAGACTAGGGAAACCCTCAAGACCTCTTGGAAAATCAAACACATACTAAATCCATTGGTTGGGATGCTCCCAAAGTAAAAATTATTGACATACAATTCCTAATTATCAAAGAGAAACCGATCGCCGGGAAATTGGTGTCATGATATGTCGCAAATCTGTGTGTCACTGCCTGTGATCAACACTCAATCGGCGGATCAACACCCGCACATCATCGCACATCTCCTGGGTACAGTTGAAAGGCCGTTCCCTTTTGTTCGTCTCGGAGGATCTGAAAGGCCAAAGCTCGCTCATCCAGTGCAACAGCTGCACGAAGCTCACCCCGTGGAAAACGGATGAAAAAGGCGTCGATCGAGCCAAGGGGCAGGTTAGAGGCCTCCGCTTGGCACAAGCGCAGGAGCCGTGGGGAATTTTTGGCCACTGAGACCTGGCAGTTGCTGTTCGCACACACACTGCTATTACACACATACACATACAGTAGCATCACATACTGTAGCTTCTGTTGATTCAAGTGCAAGGGCCTTTAGCCTGTATATAACCTTGGATACCTTGGAACCGCAGCTGCATTTTATCAAAGACATTCAAAGCCCTGCATACTATAGATGCAAGATGATAGAAGCCTGCAACACACCAGACAACACCCGCGCCGACACAATCAAGCAGACTGCCCCACAGTGAAACTGTCGCCAGCGCACATCATGATCAAAGCAAGGTTCAAAGTGTCATTGTCTCCTTGGAGGAGCTACGTTCACCCTTGTCACCTGGATACATCATGTTTTCAGTACTTGGGAATTTGGGAGCATCGCACACCATGGGCTTTTGTAGCCAGGGAGGTGGGCAGGACTCATTGGTGGACAGAGAGGAGTTTCACCTGAGAGGAGGAGGTGTTTACCCAAGATCCTACAGATGCTGTTGATTTCCATGTATGCCATGGCTGCGACGGCCACGCTTCATCAAAGGTCGGCAGAAACATGGGTTGAGAGATTGATGAACAGATGTCTTGGCGGCAAACGTCCCGGTTTTGACGAGTTTCAAACGTCCAGTGTTTTCCCAAGCAATTGACATGTCCTTTTAAGCCTGAAAACCATGGCACATGTGTGGATGTGTACGTTTGACTCAGGGTGGAAGTGCTTGGCTGATCAAATAGGGATTGATCAAGATCAAGTATATATTTCAGATTGAACATATAGCAATGGTTCACAACCATAGGCCATAGGCACCATTTTTGTGGGGCCACGCTAACCAATGGGATGAGGCCATGGTGACCATCGACAAGGAGCCAGGATCCTTGGCAGGAGACGGGGTCTCCCATCGTGTTCAACTGCCCCAGGGCCATGATGGGCCACAGGATTTGCCGGTCCTGAACTAGAGAACAAACAGCTCTAGACATCTCCAGACTCTGAACTTTTGATCTGATGTGGTCGCTCCTTTGCCCCAAGACGTTGGGATCGTTGTCCTGTTTTTGTTTCGTTGGAACGGGTACAGTTCCGCAGTTCCGCCCATCAGGAGCTTCAGCCTCCATCCAGGAGCGGAGAACCTCGTGGTTCGTGGTTGGAGCGGTTGGGACGTTCGTGGTTGCTTCGCTTGCGTCGCTCGGTTCGGCGTCGTCGAGAAACAACGAGGACATGGGCGTCTGGCTTTGTGTCGTGCCGAGAGAGTTGGCTCCGATGTTTGGCTCGTTCGGGTTGGGACCTTGTTCCTAGTAGCGTCCTTGCTCCTAGTAGCGATGCCCTAGGTATGTGAAGCATATAGGCTCGATTCAAGGCATCTAAGGGAGGACATGACAGCGGATTCCCACATAGGCACAACAGTTCTCCTTTAGTTCTCCTTGGGTTCAAAGCTATTGAGCTAGTGGTCCAACCAGTTCATGGATCGGACCAACTGACACAGCTTGGGCCAAGCCGCTACCAGCAGGTGGCTACTTGTAGGCCCCAGGACGAGATCCTTGATATACTGTAGATCTTAAGACGTGTGGAGAATCATTCCCTTGAGCCTATAGTATCAGTTGCATTAGGGGATCCGATCTCTGGGAAGTCTATGGTACGACATCGAGCAAACGCTTCAATGCATTCCCAGAGGGAGTAGCCAGCAAGAACAATTTCATGGCCCTTTCACTTGCAGGCTGCAGCCAGGAGCGGATCGGGCTGCTGTCGATTGCATTGCATGGAGTTTACCCACTGAATTCCAGTGAGAAGAAGTTATGAATGGATGTGAATGGACCTGGAAAATTCAAGGAGAGTCGAGTTTCTCTTAAGGGTATAAACAGACACCTGCACCATTTGGCTTCATTTGCAGATCTTTGGTTGTGCCTTAAGATTCAAAGATGAGGAAACTCCCAAAGACGTCGAGGCTGCCATCCAGTGACAAAAGGTAGATGACCCCAGAAGGGCACCGTGTATGTGTTTGTAGGCTGTGTTTGCATGTTCCTTCGCACCCAGAGAGGTCCATCCGTTCCATTGTGAAAAGCTCGGATCCTTCCCAGTGACCGGTCGGAACGTGCAACATGCGCCTGTCCACTCACCAGGGGGGTGGAGGTCACGGACGCAGGTGGCTCACACCGGTAACTTAATAAACGTTCATCTGCTGTCATTTGCCTTAAATTCAGATAGAAAAGACTCCCAAGCCTTGAGTCCTCAAGCCAATTTGACTTCAGGATATGCGAGTTTCTCTGCGCCCAGGAGTGCAGAACAAGATGACTTGCCGACTTTTGGCGCCCCGACCAAGGGAGCGAGGGTTCGAGGGCTGACGGATTGCGTGGGAATGTCGACAGGTTGTCCTAAAAGCCCGTTCAAGGACTTCAAGGGCATCGGGCCATGTTGGTGAGTGCATGGATGTTTGTTTCCGGGTGACCAAGGGCACTAAACAACGTTGATATTGTGGCCGTGAGTCTGAAGACTCAGACCGTGGCGTTTCCATTTGCGAATTGCGATGTCAAGTTTTGCATGACAGATCATAGATGGCGCTTGGAGAGAAACACCTCCCAGTTCTGTCCCATTCAGCTATGATTCGGGCAGCCTCCGAAGAAATCGTCATTAAGTTGGAACAGGATGAACTTTGTGGCGTGGTCGACAGCGGAACGATGGGGAAGAGAGTGAAGGTGTTTCTCGTAGATCAATGTGGATATCCAAGTTTGGCAACGGTGGGAGCCTGAGGCAAGAACTTGGTGAGTTGCAGGACGCCATGCCTTTGACACCACTAGTGGGTATACAAATACATACAGTAAAGACTTTGGAACCCTGTCTTCCTGGTGAAGTTGAACTAGCTCCCTTGGCATCATGCAAGGTGAAGAAGCTGGAAGAAGTTGAGGGACCATTTCAGTAGTTGTGACCTCCAGCTTTCCTTTGAAGGGAAGGGTATATAAATGGACAATGGTGCCACGATATTTTTCGAGGCGGTCATCTGCAGGGACCCTGCAAAGGCCAATTGTGATCCAGCCAATACCTCCTAGCTCCATACCCTGGTGCTACTACTATCTCCTCCAACCCATCGGAGCGGTCTCCCGCCTGAAGTTGCAGCAGCACCAAGGGACCCCCCCTGGCAAGTCGCTGGGAGCTGAGCGTGAAAGAACTGGAGTCACAGTTCAAAGCAACGATCACAAGGGAGTTCAACCATGTTTCTTGTGGTTGGACTGTACCACATGCCTTTTGAATCTATTTTCAGATTTGTTCTAAACATATCCTAAAATAATCATGCACTTTTTGCTCCACACTGCCAACTCTTCCTGCCTTTTGCATAGTAGCTCATCTTGGCCTATGACACCAGTATCCACGAACTGTCATGATCTACCATACCTTTTGCCTCCGTTGTCCAGCTTGCCAACTCCACAAAACTGCCAGTGCATTGTACTCTACATTTGATCAAGCGGCCTCAAAGAGGGCCTTGTACCTTACTCAAGCATAACAGGGCTGCTCCGACAATACTACAGTCCTCAAGGGTCACGCAGGTGGTTTCTTGGAAATCAACTTAAGATCCTGTGAGGCTAAAACGTGCTCAGTGGTTGCATGATTGCAGGCATTTGGCCAGGATCAGGTCAACAATGGCATTGCTGAATTGCTACAAGTTTTTATTCACAGGGTGCTTGACATAATCATCTTTTGAAATTCACATTTTGACCATATAGTAGGCCGTATACCCCAGCTGTAATTTCTGCATTTTACTGAGGCCGACAATGGCATGGCAGGAGAACACGGATGAGTCAGGCGAGGATTTGCTCAAAAGTGTTTTGTGACATCTTTCGTATGCCTTGAAGGCCCTTGAATTACTTATGTAGGGACTCTTAACAAGGGTTGAGAAGTGTTTCCACTGAATGCATGTATGTCGGACTCCCGGATCGGTGCACAGGTGGATCGACTCAGCGCGGAGTCCTGGGTTCACTCTGAGGCTGATCGTTTTTGGTGGTGTCCGGAGCGGACCTGGCTGGTTTCAATTTTGGAAGCCCGAAAGGGCATCGCTGCAACACTTTGGCCCTTTGGCAATGTGGAAGTGTTTTTGGCTCCTGCATTCCTCAATGTGCTTATATAGGATGATACATAGGACTTTGATGGACTTTGTATGACTTTTTTGTATTAGTTGGGGATGTTCCTCTGTCAAGGTGGACGCTGACAAGACTACCACAGAAGACCTGCTGTCAATTGGAGAGAGTTCTTTCGGCACCGAGAACATGGTTCCCCTAAGAGAATCAGATTGCCACGGCTGTGCTGCAGCAAGTTGATGGACGAGGTATGTTGTTTCTCTTTGGAAAGTGTTTGGAAATGCGTTCCGGGCATTCGATGTAGTAAAACAGTGTTAGACTGAGAATATGGCCTTCAAGAAAAGCTTGCCCAGCAATGCTCAGCATGTGTGCATCTGATTGCATACGTAGAAACGGGCAGCACTTTTTGTGTCCCAGTCCTGATGAACTTGGCCGAGGCCCGCAGTCTCGCCAGGTTGGGTGCTGAGAGTTTCATGGCATTTCATGGCCATGTGCGGGCGTGACATGGCTGGCCAACCACGTCTCCGGAATGATCACCCTAGGCTAGGATGGCTGGCAGGCTGGACGTACTGGATTATATATAATATATATACATTGTAATTGAATTTTGTATGATTTTGTATGTCTTATATCCCGTTATGTCCCTCCTGAATCTAGAACCGGAAAGATGTGCTTGGTTAGCTTTGATTCTTTAGTTTTGCCCTGAACTACTCGATGTTCAGCCGACAAGTACTAGGCTCGGACGGCATTGTGGCTGCCATCAAGAACCTCACAGCAGGCAATGCTCGTAGCCTGGGTGGGGCGAAACAAGACGCAACCGGTCTAGAAAATCCTGCAGAGTCTGACATAGAATGCACCCGTGCGCTGACAATGAACTGCAGCAAAACCTCTGCATTTAAGCGGCTTGCGAGGTTCACAAGCCGTTTCAACCATATGCGTTTCTTTGGTGGTTGCCTGGTTGACAGTTGAAGGATGGAGATGGTCTGCCAAAAAGACTGACACGAGCTTCGAACCGCTTGTCACTCATAAATTGTTTGCTTCTGCAGAAATGGTTTGTTCTCGGGGGTTTGTCCGCGCTTGCTTGAAGTCTGTATGAGTGGCCGTTGGTTGTCGTGCCGGTTCCAGAATCATGAGCTTGAATTGATTGCCTCGAAGTTTGTGCGTGTTTTGGACAAGCCATGCCCACGCAAGACTGTAGCTGCTCAGATATTCTAGGTGAGACGGTATCCCGGACTTCATGTTTAGCAAACGTAGACTAATTGAAGTCAAACAAATCAGTCGCCACGTGACAGGTAGACCGGCAGCGGCTGCCCAATCCTCAGCAGTCTGTCTCAACGCTTCTCAGAACTGGGTCAAAACTAGAGATTGTTTTCTTTTTTGACGAGGCCCGAGGCGACCTCAATAAGACCAAGAACAAATACTGCAACAATTAGATACTTGCTCCTTGTTTCTGCTCACAGTAACATGTGCCACCACATGAGGCTCGGAAATGAGTCTTGTTTTGATGATGAATTTGCTTGATCATGTTCGAAATCCTTTTTAGATCCAATGTTTGGAGGCGATAACGATCTAAAAAGGATCTAAACATATCATAACGTTTGGTGTTTTTGTTCGACCTCTGGGGACGCGATATTGATTCGGTATTCAGGTGCCTGACTCCTTGCGCGATGTGGGACACGACTCCTTGCACAGAGTTTCTTGATTTCTTGTCCCCAATGGTCGTAACAAGCCTTTTGTTTGAGAAACTGAGCTGTTGAGTTGTTCGTGTTGATGTGAGAAACCTGGACTGCGGCAGTTTGGTTCATCAATCTTTGTACCACCATGCGGATCCCATAGCTTCTGTCTTCATCTACCCAGACCTGTCTTTTATTTCTAAACGCACCAGTGGCACTTGGAAGAGGTCTTTCAAAGGCTTCCCCCAAAACTGGATTTGAGCTGATTCAACTGTTTGTTGAATATTCGCGAGCGGCCTGCTTCCCACAACCACGCCCCCCTTTGATAACTGCAGCAATTGACCTGCTGCAACGAAGGTTGGATTGGATGTGGTTGATAGAAAGAAAGAATGGAATATTCAAATTTAAAGGGTCGTCTCAAAGGGGGAGACTTGCTGTAGACTCTTCCACACAAGTTGAGGGGGCTTCCAATCTTAAGGCACGCCCAGTTTACAGGCTATACGCCGTGACTAGCAGCAGTGCAGAGCCACTTCTTCAGGTAAAAATCCCGGGTTTGAGAGCAAGTTGTCACTGTGGCGGAGTGAGCACCTCAGCGGGTGAACGACTTTAGACATCTTTAGACCTTTGATGTGAAGCCCTTGAGCCCTGGCAAAGAAGGAACAAATCCCATCAGCCCTGGCGACCTTGTCCATGTAACAACATACATGTATCATTTATCAGAGCTTTTTTGCTAAGAACTGCCCGACTTGAGCGAGGTGCCACACAGTGAGGTGCTACGGTGGTGGAGTGAGGCTGGGCGAATCTCGCTCGAATTAAATTCTATTGAATTCTTGTTTCTAATAGCTTCTTGTTCCTAGTAGTAAGGCCAGAAGCCCCTAGTAGCGTCCTTGCTCCTAGTAGCGATGCCCTTTGCTCCTAGTTTGAACATGTTTGAACCCCCCTCCAATCCCCTTGAGACACGGCTTGTTGCAACTTGCGCTCATAGTGACGCTTGAACACATATTTGTGCAATGTTGTGCAATTATGTATTTATATGTATGTGTTATAATTTTGTAAATTTGATTAGATTTATTAATACTAATACTAGTGTGACTGCAGTGTGAGTGGGGGGATCAGTGCTCGAACCGTTCTTGAGTCGCTTAACAACTACAATAATTGTTGCGGAGGGGGGTTACCGACGAGAAGACTCGAGACCCCAGAAATGGGAAAGCCCTGGAAGTATGACGTTTCTTTTTCATGGAGGCACAACTGATTCAAAGCAATACCAGAATTTTGCAGGGTACATATCACTTAATCTTGGATAAGTATATACATTAGTACTTCATAGTACTATCAGTTCCTCCGTGCGGGCGCAGGTGTCCAATGAGATCCAACTCATCACAGAGGCAGTCACGCACCCAAATGAGACGGCTCCAATCCAAGCTGGATCAGTCTGGAGATGTTTAATTAGCATCAAGTTCCATTGTTGCTTCGCTTTCTGCTCCGTCCGTGGGAGCACCGTCTGAGACGTTCTTTCGGTGTAACCGAGACCACCGATGTGTCCACCTTCGCTCTCACCGTGTCCATCCGTGTCCGTCCACACCGTCGGGTGAGGTCGATGCCAAGCTAGACCTGTGGAGAGCTCGAATGACCGAGAAAGACCAGGTGGAGCGACCCAGTGGGGCGAGCGAGAGAAAGGCCCCGGTGCGTCAGACTTCGGCTGAGATGGCTTTGTTGACGGCCTATGGTAGAGTGTGGCAACTCAACAAAAGGCCTGACAGCAAGGTTTTGTTGTTTCTTCTACTGCCAGCCCATGTTGAGGCATATTGAGGTCACGTTTTCACCACCTGCGCAATACTACTGTATGGGAGATGCACTAATTCCATATATGATACATGACACACTTAGCACAGTATAGCCTCACGGCACTACATGCCGACTCGCCACTCACGAAGCAAGTTCTTTTTGAAGCTGATGTTGCTGCTGAAAGCAAAAAACGGAGTTGTCAGTGACAAGTTGTCAGGGCAGAACCTTGTGGTTGCGTCGACATCATTATCATCGATTGCGTCACATGGTCATCATTCTTGAAGCCATCATTATCATTATCTCTTCAAGAAGCAGATCTAGAAGTCACATATCATATGTGGAACTTTTCTGCCATACAGATTCCATGGGTTGATTCATTTTGCACTGCCAGGTCATTAAGCGGCTCTATGTGAAAGTGAAACAACTTTCAGAGTTTGGAAGCTTAGCAAGACATTGAGGCAAAGTGACTGGCTGGTAGATCACCCGTGTGCTCTAATACGATCATGTGCTATGGGACGTGTAACACTATGTGTATAGGCGTGTGTATCATAGCTGGGCTGGCATATATTATTTTGGCTGGTCCATTGAAACATGTTCGCCTGAGCTCATGGCCCTGCATGCCGGGCATGCGCCAACCCAAGGTCGGCCAAGAGCCCCATGCCAGCGGTGAGAATCTCGGACGTGCCAGCGGAAGATGAAATAGAAAGGCGTAGAAAGGCGTAGAGCTCGTTGATGATCATGGGATTATTGCATGATGGTATTTGTTTGGGATCGTGTTTGGCATCATCGTTCGGATCCTCACAGGCTCGGGTTGCATCTTTGAGATGTGGTTTGGGGGTTGCCTTGTCTGCTCCACCGTAGATCAAGTTTGATGCAGTGAGGTGACGCAGACAGGAACGCGAAGCCCTTTGAGGCAAGTCGTGGGCTGTGTTTGATGAGACGGTGAGATGAGATGATGAGGCGGTTTGCATCCAGCGGCGCCAGATAAGAGGTTGAGAATTTCAACGGCATAAGTTCCCTTATGTTCCCTTTGATTTGCTCTCCAGGTAAAACTGCAGGTGTTCGGCATAAACAAAGGCACAATCGGTCCCAGGTCTCTATCCGCCTTTGAGAATGATCGTGTAATGTATCCGCTGGCGTACTCGTCCGCTGGCGTGCCAAACTGACTCGTGGGTCTCATGAGCTGTGTGGTTTTCTGTTGCTTTGAACTTAATAGCTTATTGTTACTAGTAGTAAGGCACTTGTTACTAGTAGTAAGGCACTTGTTACTAGTAGCTTTGAACTTAATCTGATTACAGCCATGATATTGAGGGGACAATGGACCTCCGAAGTGGCTGCAGCATAATATGCTGGAGCCGGACGCAGAAGATCTCGGCACAACCGTGTGCCTCCCCCACCGGCTCCACAAAGCATCTCTCTCTATATATATGTATATACAGTATATGATATATAGATTAGATTGCTTTATACAACGTGACAACGTGTGGATATGTATGGGATTGTATGTGTATTACAATGTATCAATATAGATTCAGATACAATACACGTTATATAAATACATTCAGAAGTGTTCAAGTCACCTCACACGAAGGTGACAGAGTTGAAGACCAGAATGGACCAGAAATCCGTGAACCACCTACTAGTAGCTTTCGTGTGCTTTAAAGTAGGGTGACCTCCGCAAAGGTCAAAACAAGTATCCTTTGGGCTTATCTGCCAGACAACCGAAGATGGGCCAAGCGGTTTGGTCTGTCATCCAGATGGATCTGGTTCATGGGTGTGAATGCGCCACAAAAAGCAGATGAGTGGGTAACTCAGACGTTCCGAGACGCCTAAGTTCCGACGCGCCTGTTTCGGATGACGCGTTCCTCATCTCACGAGCTGCCCCAACTTGATGCCTCAGGGCCGCCACGCGCAGCGGGCGCATCGCGCCAGCGCCGCTGAGCGAGAAACATGGGACGAGGATGAACCCGGTGACCAGGAATTTTGCTAACTGACTGTCACTGGCCAGTGCTAGTGATGACGACTAGATTGTATCTCCTACTGTTGATCTTTTGCCATCACGTCGGCTGGCTGGTTGTTGCCAGGTAGGTGGGGTCTCGACGCATTCCTCACCAGATTATGAGATTGGAATCGGTGGTGGAGCGAAGTGGCTGGCCGGACGAAGAGTTTGGCTGGCTGTCGCTCACCAGACAATCAGGATTTGCTTGAGATGATTCATTGATTCCTCTTAATTTAGTGCGTTTAGAGGGTGTCTTGCAAGGTCCTAGTGGTCTGAGAAATTGGATGTCGCCATCATATTTGAGGCCAATATTCCGGCCCTTTCGCTAAAGGATACCTAACGTGGAATGAGGGTACAATGTAGTACATAGCTTCATATAGCTTCTACAGTATGTCATGTCTGTTGTTTTGGGTTTCTGCGAGTAAATCAGTAAATCAGGCATGTGTCAGGGCATCCATGTCGGGGTCCACGCTTTGTTTCCTGGGGCTCCCAACAAATCGTCCTGGATATAGCCATGTAGAGCAACAAGAAGCTACTAGTAACAAGTGCATCGCTACTAGTAACAAGTGCCTTACTAGTAGTAACAAGTGCCTTACTAGTAGTAACAAGTGCCTTACTAGTAGTAACAAGTGCATCGCTACTAGTAACAAGTGCCTTACTAGTAGTAACAAGTGCCTTACTAGTAGTAACAAGAAGGTATAGAAAGACAGTGCCTTACCAGAGTTTGGACTAGTAGTACAAGTGCCTTACGAAACAAGTTTTCTCCTCAAACTTCCCGATCTTCGACTTGAGGTCTCCGTCCAATCATCCGCGGGCGCTCTTGGCAGCTCAGTCGGTTGATGGCCTACAGTCTGTTGGAGTCAGCTGCCTGGTGAAGCATGTACATCTTGTGCTCGGAGCTTCACAACATGCATTGCTGGGATTGAATTGCCTGATATGATCTTATATGATCTTGCCCGCGAAGACACTTTGCGCCTTTCGGACATGGGAGTTCACCAACCCTCATGAGTGGGGAGGACAAGCTAGGGCCCCTCCAACTCACATAATTGCTTTTGCATCCAGAAGAAGATCTGATCATCAGCTTCCCTGTAGCCGCCACAAAGGAGCGCTAGGCCCAGCTAGGCTGCCTGAAGTGAAGCTAGTCAGTTGCACCTGGTCGAAAGGATGGGTCTTGTCCCCGGAAAGGGTTCTCATAGTGATTTGGTCACCAATTCTGTAGAGGCTTTATATATTAATACTGTATATATATATATATAGAGCGAGAGAGTCACCCTTTTCAGAACAGACCAATCAGATGAAGAATGATGACGATCTTCATAAACCTGGTGCACTCATCTTAGTATTTCCAGGTCCGATTGCGTCCAGACACACTGTGCTGCTCGAAGGGCCTCGGGACTGGCACACGGCCTTCTGGTCGCTCTGGGCTCGGGAGCCCCGTGGTCGGGTACTGGGAACAGACCATCGACACGATCAGCCCGCGTTGGATGTAGAGCCAATGTAGAGATCTCCCCATGTTGAATGTATAATATAACATAACATAACTATGACAATAAATATATATATATATATATTGCAATATACATAGATATAGTAATATATATATATATTCATTATACAAGACCAATATTTTGGTACTTCATGTATATATAAACCGTTCTAATTAGCTGGCACTTGCACGGCCTTTTGCGGTCCATAATTGTGTAAAGAATGGGGGTTGTGAGTTGCATGATCATGGTGATCGTGATTTTCTGTCGCTGCAGTTGTAAAGATTGAACAGAAGTCGACGCATAAAAGTCATAGCACAATCACATGTGTGTACTGTTGGGACAAGATATAGCATATACAGAGCATACAACATGCAGCTGAAGGTTGGTTTTCCTGAATAGGGAAAATGCTTTAGAGCATGTTTCCATTCATTTCTTTGTGCGGTTGATTGTTGTCGGTCTAGCAGGTCTCAAAACCGATGTGCAGACCATTTACCCAATAGGTGTTCAGCCACGGAGCGTAAATCTTCAATCAGTTGTCAAATTGCCGAAGAACCCTGATACATCCCCTTCAAACTTGCAATGGGCCCCTTTGGTTGCATTTGGATTGTAGTTTTGGTTTTTGGTCCAAAAGATCACACAGAACCTTGGAACCCTGGAGTGTCAAGATTTGATGTTGCTTCGGGCCCGCTTTGACAAACGCAAAAGACTTGAGGTCCCTGAGCCCATCAGGCCGGCCACTGCTAGGCCAGCAGGGAACAGATGGCTCTGTGACAGAAGCTGACCATCCATTCCGACGCACCACCTGGGTGTGGGCGAAGACCATGGATTTACTAGAGGCCATACTTCAGGCAGACAAAAGTTTACGCTTGTTAGCATTCTTACAAAACAC